ATAAGGCATAAAAATGTCCTAGTATAATAAGGCATAAAAATGTCCTAGTATAATAAGGCATAAAAATGTCCTAGTATAATAAGGCATAAAAATGTCCTAGTATAATAAGGCATAAAAATGTCCTAGTATAATAAGGCATAAAAATGTCCTAGTATAATAAGGCATAAAAATGTCCTAGTATAATAAGGCATAAAAATGTCCTAGTATAATAAGGCATAAAAATGTCCTAGTATAATAAGGCATAAAAATGTCCTAGTATAATAAGGCATAAAAATGTCCTAGTATAATAAGGCATAAAAATGTCCTAGTATAATAAGGCATAAAAATGTCCTAGTATAATAAGGCATAAAAATGTCCTAGTATAATAAGGCATAAAAATGTCCTAGTATAATAAGGCATAAAAATGTCCTAGTATAATAAGGCATAAAAATGTCATAGTACAATAAGGCATAAAAATATCATAGTATAAAAAGGCATAAATACGTCATAGTATAGTAAGGTATAAAAACCAATAAAAGTATTTTTTTTAAAAAAGGCATAAAAATGTCATAGTATAATAAGGCCTAAAAATGTCATAGTATTGTAAGGCATAAAATATCATGGTATAGGAAGGCATAAAAATGTCATGGTATAGGAAGGCATAAAAATGTCATAGTACAATAAGGCATAAAAATGTCATAGTATAATAAGGCATAAAAATGTCATGGTATAGTACGGCATAAAAATGTCATGGTATAGGAACGCATAAAAATGTCCTAGTATAATAAGGCATAAAATGTCATAGCATAGTAAGGCATAAAAAGTCTTAAACATGTCATTGACCGTTTGACTTAATGCCTTACTATAGTAAGTCAATCAAATACTAGCATGCCTAACTCAGTTGTCTTGGAGACGTAGGCTATTGGAGGGCATACTGGAATGATCTAATATGGTTTCACTCTAACAGTGCGAACTAGTTCACTCAGATATTGGTAGGGATCTGATCTGATCCAATTGTTTTGGATCAGTATGTAGCTATACTCACTTAGACTGGTTGTTAATAAACAGCAACCTGAAAAATGTCTGATGGGTTCTTTTAGCATTCAGAGGATTTTGACCGTTGGGCAGAAAAAGATTTGGTTATAACTGTGCTTCATGGCTGCCATGTCAAACTGATGAATTCTGACATTTCACCTAACAGCTATATAATACTGTATGTTCATGCTCCTTAAACCTGACAACAGGGAGATTCCAAATATCACACTTTCACAAAAATATACAGCATGTGTCTTTATTGATCTATTCATGAGAAATTATACATCGGAACCACAGGGTGGAGCTGAAGAAGAAGAAAAAAAAAGAATCCAAACTGTGATATAACCTTGTTTAATATTTTGTTTTATCTCCGAGCTCCAAAAACACATGTTCATTTAAATACAGTTAAACACAAGACACGGCAGCACGGTGCCATAATTGACAGAAGAGCTGACGGCGGGGGTGGGATTTGATTTGGCGCCCATCTGCTTCACAAGAACTTCCTGTGTGAGTCACGCTGGGATCAACCTCCCTGGGTGAAAAATAAATGTAAGAAATTATTTCTGAGGAACAATGACACAACATCAGAGGGCACGTGTGTGATGTAAGAAAGAAAAGAAAAAAAAAGTAAAACATCTGACTGAGAGACTTACCTCTGTAGTAAGCTATAGAACAGATTATTCATAAACATCCTTCTTGTCTGCGATGTATTGTACAATCTCCTCAGGAGTCATCAACTTCTCTGCTTCTGCATCTGGGATCTCAAAACCTGAAGAATAAAACACACTACACTTAAAAATGTACTTGAATGCACCACAAAGACCATCAACATCAGCTTCTGATATGCACATAGTACTTAATAGTATAGTAATAAGTATTTCTGGTCTAAAGATCATCACACAGACAAACCAGCCAACCATTCTGATGCCACAGTAAATATGATTACATATTCTCCTCAAGTTGATTTATCAGTTGGCACTGTAAAGTTGTTTTGCACTGTTGTAGTCAGCTTGTCGTTGTCAAATGAAACCCATGTATCTCAAAATTTGGTGATTTTGAATTGTTCGCATAAGGATCATATATTCCTAAATTCTAAAATTCTCATACGTCTTTAAACCAAACAAACCACTGTCATAAAGCTGACAGCAGACCTGTTTTTATGAACTCAGGCAAAGTTAAGTAAGAAACCATTGACATGGTTAGCATTGTTAGCACTGTGTTGTTGTACTAAAGCAGATTTCCTCTCACCCCTGCCTAATTTTTAATTTTATAATGCAGTTTTTTCTACATAAATCCCATCACCCCTGTATTTCTCTGTGCGGCAGCCCAAAATCTGAGCAGTGCCTAAAGAGCTCATGCTTAAGCCTTCAATTTGTAATTTTTCAATGGGCAATCTTGACGGACCAGCTGCTACACAGGCAGGTCGGCATTCCATCAATCCACTCACCAAACTCATCCTCCATGGCCATGATGATCTCCACTTGGTCCAAGCTGTCCAGACCCAGATCTTTCATGAAATGGGAGGATGTCTGCAGCTGTGGAGCAGAAATCATTGTTAACATTACAAAGGTCTTTTTTTTACAGTCACTGACAAATACTTAGCAGCTTTTACTGTTTCAGCCTCCGACATGCACCTCAATATCTCATGTACAAATCACTGTTTATGAAGGTCCAGCAGGTGGAGTGTGTGCATGTTAACATGACCTCTGACAAAACGTAGGACTGACAAAATATCATTCAGACACTTGTTTTTCAGGTCACCTCCAATTAAATACAAGTCTCATTATAAGTCTCATAAAGCCATTGAGAATCACTGACATTCAAAGAATGCAATGGAAACAAAACACTACCACATGTGAGCTGCTTCATAACAGAAGACGCATCATATTTCACAGTTCCACAGTTCTCATTCATTGTTAAAAGTAAAAGTGAACAATGTGTGCTCGACAGGCTAAATCAGTGCTCGCTCTTACCTTTTCTGGGTTGATCTTGTCGTAGAGCTTGAGCACATACATGACACGGTCTTTGATGGTCTCTAAGGTGAGGGGGGGCAGGTCTCCATACTGTCGGCAAAAGACACCCACCGAGGAGACCTAAGGAGGAGGGAGAGGAGAGGGTCAGGAGCAGAGGTGGTGAGGTGGATGTAGGGTGGGGACAGATACAGATGACAGGCTGTGAGCACACAGCCCACAAATCAGCCTGAAGCTGCCTGTGCTCACTTCTCAAAGCTGAAAATGCTACAAGCACAAACTATAAACAGGCTGAGCCCAAAGACTGTGTTACATACAATTATAATGATGCGGGAGAGTCTGGAAGAGCCTTGCAGCACGTGGGATGGACAAATAATCAGTGTAGAAACATATGGCAAGATGCTATCTTGCAACACATAGCAACACAAGGGCATCCACCATTTTTTAAATTATGTTTAGTAGTTTTTATAGTGTTGTATTAGTGTTTTATGGTGTGCATCATCTCAACTAGACTGCTGTAATGCTCTCTCTTGCAGAGTTAAACAGACAAACAACTGGAAAGCTCCAGCTCCTCAAACTTCATTAAGTTCCAGTGCAAAACAGAACCAACTTTAAAACTTGACTTATGCCGTTTAAAGCAAATCCACTCAGGTAAACAGATGGTGGTTTTCTAACTGTACCTAAACTAAGATCACACCTGTGTCCACATTATAGCAAATTTAAAACTATTCTGTTTTCACAAGCTTATGATACGTTATGGTCTGTGTCTGTAGGGTGGAGTTTATTACTCGTGTAATATGATGTGTAAATATATCTATATATATATATATATATATATATATCAATAAATATTTTAACTGACCTTAGTTAACACAAGACTCGAATAACATAGATGATCATACGAGTAGTTATCATGCTTCCCACACGCAAAAAAACAATAATTAAGGTAATAACATCATGCACAAGAGCAGAACACTTCTGCATGATGCTTATAATTAACAATCTATGCATCCTGCTTAGCTGGTAGTATCATTATCTATCGCTAAACAAGAATAAACCTCACAGTGTTTGAGGGCGCTTAGGTTAAGCATGAGCACCCAAATGACTGCGGACTTGAGGTGACAGAAAGGAAACAATACAAACGTGTGTCAATGAACTCACCAATTTTGCTAACTAGCTAGCTAGCCAACAAGCAAAACATGCCTGTTGTGTAAGCAAAAATAAAAGCCGTTTCATGGATTTCAGAGGTGATTTACGAATGGCAGGTTTTCACTAATCTAATGATAAACTGCTTGGATGCCACCATGAACTTTATACAGGCAAGGTTAGCGTAACAGTTTTGAAAGACATAGGTAGGTCACAGCAAGCGCTAGGCCACGACGGTTCAATGTTACCGGAGACTCACCCGGCTCTGACCGAGCCACCGCGTCCTCCGGCTGTCTGCGGCGAAGGAGAGAGGTCGGTGAATGGATACTGCCGGGGCAGCAGCGGCTCTGACTGCCAGGTTACCGGAGCAAAGCCTCAGCGAAGGCCGGGCGAGCGAGCGGACACACTGCTGCAGGACACGGGCCGCCATGACGGAGAAAAGTGACTGGTGTCTCCCAGCGTGCAAGGCGAAGAAGAATCAGGGTCAAGGGCTCCGCTGTACGCATGCGCACATCACAAGCCCTGTCTTTATTTTGCACATTTTTATTTCATTTGTGCATTCTACAGTGTTTTTACGAAACGTAGGATCGAAAATATATATCAGAAATATATAATTTTGATTGACGGTTAAATAAAAATGTGTTGAGGAGCTTGAGTTCACCTCAGGGAGGACCAATCGAGCACAGAATCATTTTACGGATTGGTTGTCTAATAATTATGTAGCTAAAAAAGGTCGAATAATTCAATACTTAATATAATTCATAACACTCGAGACGATATACCGTAATACTAATTGTGTGTCATTTGTTTGTTTTAACGAAATGCATCGATGGTTTTGCCCTCAACTCGTATAGTCTGAATATCTATTGATCACAGTCGGCTGACAACAGAGCAGGGAGCACAAAACAGATAAATGCGTTAGATATTGGCGTTGAATAATCAGTGGATTAAATATTTTACCAAATTGCAAGCCATGGAGTTGTCTGAAATACTGTACAACAAAGCGGAGTACATTGAGACGGTATTAAGTTTGATACTAAATCATTGCTAGCTAGCTAATCGGTTGCTATTTAGCTAGCTGAAGCTCAACGGGGCGTTGGGCGTTGGATAGCTGAAAATTTTACTTGTGTTGAATTTAGACAGAAATTAAAAACAGAAAAAAATGCTTTTGTACAAATATTAACCATTGCTTTTGTTTCATTTCAGGCTTCTGGCAACAAAGTGAGCAGACAGTCAGTGCTGTGTGGAAGTCAAAATATCGTCCTCAATGGCAAAGTAAGGAAAGAAAAACACAAAATACGGCTAGCTGTTAGTAAATTATACACTAATGTGGCTGTGATATAACTGGGTTGTTGCTTGTGTGTGTGTGTGTGTGTGTATGTGTGTGTGGTGTCTCTCCTTCAGACTATTGTCATGAATGACTGCATCATCAGAGGAGACCTGGCTAATGTCAGGGTGGGCAGACACTGTGTTGTGAAGAGTCGGAGTGTTATTCGGCCGCCTTTTAAAAAGTTTAGCAAAGGGTAAAGTACCTTCCTCTCATTGCAAATATTCCAAAGATTTAGACTAGAGCTGAGTCACATTGACAACACCAAATGTTTTATTATTTTTCATCATTGTTTGACTGAAAGCCTCAATGATCATGTTTGTATGACTGATGTTGCTTGTTTAAAGTGTTTGAACTATGGATAAGTCACTGAGAGCATTTAAGACCAGAATACCAGAATAAATTGTGTAACAATTTTACAACAATCAAATCAAACGTTTATCACTTGTAAATGTCAGTGCCAGCATCACTCAGTTGCGAGGCTGCAATTAACGATAACCCAAAGGTAGTATGTTTACCATCATAAGACAACAAAAAGAAGCAAATCCTTGCATTGGTGAAGCTGCAAATTTTTTTATTTTTCTGGAAAATGACTGGAACAATCAAACATATCAAAATTGTGATTCATTTTTTGTCAGTAAGCTTATTAATGAATCAACTAATTACTTCAGCTTTGAGTTGTAATGTGGCTGATATACGCCAGAGTACTGTAAAGCATATTCTTAACAGTTGGCCAATTTTGTACTTTTGTGTACCAAATGTATGGATGCTGCTTTTCCGTTTAACAAAGATTAAACTTCATCTTCCTCCACCCTTTCTGTTTCCTACCAGAGTGGCGTTCTTCCCACTACACATCGGAGACCACGTCTTTATCGAAGAGGACTGTGTGGTCAATGCAGCACAGATTGGTTCCTATGTCCACATTGGCAAGAACTGTGTCATAGTGAGTGGGATAAAAGCACACACACAACCAAGCTGATAGACAGAAAACAGAAGGTATGCTGAGAAAGGCAAAGCCATTGAGAGAGGACAACAGCAGTAGTGTCTCCTCTTGCCTGTGGTGAAACAGTCACATGGTAGTCATGTTCAGATGATGTGAACGCAGTAGCAAACTGCTTCAGGCTGCTTTGAGCAGACCCTGTCACAGACCTGGGTTGGAATCTGAAATGAAATACACTGAATTACATGTTTTAATGTAATTGCAGCTGAGTTGCAATCTTACATCTAACTAGAATTGCAAGACTCCACATTTGATTCAAAATTAGGATGTTATATGAGGAAAAGCTGAACAAGACAAAAAATAATATTTTGAATGGTATTCGGCTGACCATTGGTGGACTTAATCACTCAGTCAGTCAGTCAATTACTCATGGCCATTTGCGATTTTTTGGCTGGCCTCATTATTGGAAGATGAAAATGCAGAAGATAAATGCTTATAAATACGTTCTAAATCTAAATGGCTCTAACGTAGTATTCTATTTTGTATTTGTATACCTATTTTGTGGTAAAAACGAATCTTCTTCACTGTGATTGCAGGTATAGATGTGGTTCGATACGATTCCAAAAGATTTCTTCAAAGTTGCATATACAAACACATTGCATATCAAACCTGTACCGGGGTTTCTCTTTTAACGCAAGCCTTCAGCTCAGCTCAGTTTCCCCTTTTCCATTATAAGGATCATACTTACTGCTCTGTTGTTCTGAACAGCCACCACCCATTGTGGACCACTGCATAACAGACAGGATGCAGAAAAACTTCAGTGTGAGTCAGTGAAAGCATTTGACTCACTAGCAATGTTTGTTTGTTAACTCACTTTTGCCTGTTGTTGTTGTTGTTGTGTTCAGGGTCGCCGCTGTGTGCTGAAGGACTGCTGTAAGATTTTAGACAACACTGTGCTTCCTCCTGAGACAGTGGTGCCACCTTTCACTGTCTTCTCTGGATGCCCAGGTCAGTCACACGATACCAACACACACCTGACCCTTCCACATTCTGTGTATCTATCATTTCTTTACCTGCGTTCATCTTTGCTACCTCTCAGGTCTGTTTTCAGGAGAGCTCCCAGAGTGCACGCAGGACCTGATGATTGATGTAACCAAGAGCTACTACCAGAAGTTCCTGCCTCTCAGCCAGATCTGAGACCCACCCTCAAAACCTTCAGCAGGGTCCACACCCTTTCCAGCCAGTTCCAGGTCAGGGTTTGGTCTTGACTGTCAAATTGAAATGGACTCTTAGAGCTCAACTCCTATCCTTCATTTACCAGAGGCCTTGAGTTTCTCTGCCCAATGAAAAACAATTGGTCCTGTTTAGAGCCCTTCTATGATTCTGTTTTTTGAGTATGAGAAAAAGCACATAGCTAATGGAATCTGATACAGCTGCAGAGGCAGTTTTGTGTTTGCAGCTCCAGATTGCAGAGAGTCTTGAAATGTCTTTTAAATCTGAAAATACTATAAGGTGTTGTTACCAAACTGTACACAGCATGCTTATGTTTACCACCCAGCTAGTCCTCTTCAAAACCCCTTAGTCTATTTCTGTTTCCTATGAATGTTATGATTTTCTAATGAAGCAGAGTTATGTAGTCATAGATCATTTTTCCTGGTCAGGGTGCCATGGTCCTCCGTACGGCTGCTGATAATAACAGAGACCCAGAGAAAGAGATAAGCCCAAGTGTAGGAAGTTATTGCTTCTTGGCAGCAGCAGTAGGTGAAGATGAGGAGGTGGAGGAGCTATGAAAGGAAAGGAGGTGAAGGGTGGAGGTGTTTGAAGGATGTGGGAACACAGCTTGTAAGATACTGTACAACATCCATGGACCAAAACAATAGCAAACAGTTGTGTTTGAGGATGTTGGCTGTACATGTGCATTATTCATATCCACAGTTCATTTGGACAACAGAGCAGCACATTCAAGAAGTTGTTTTAATTTTAATCTTGAAGATTGTGTGTTTGTTTGATTTCTCCTTCACTGGCTTATGCAATTTGTCATAATACATCTTTAACATGGTTTGGAATTTAATTCCATTATGTTTCAAACAATCAAATCAACTGCAGCATTGATTTGAACATCTCAAATAGTGAAGCTTATAAATAAATATGAATGCTTGAAAATCTGCCTGGTATGAGCTGGCCTCTATCTTTGGAGCTTTCTTTTTTTAAAAGGTACACCGTGGAGTATTGACCACTGGTAGTGCTTTGGAGCAACATCTTTATGAGTAGGTCCTTGTGTACAAGCACAAAGATGTGCATGCATGCGCTCAAGGCTCGAGCATGTAGGCATTACTTTTGTGTGTTTCATACTGTTCTGCATGTCATAAATTGGTGGTGGTAACCTGCAAAGAAGCGTAAACAGCACATCAGTGAAGGCAGGGAAAAAAAAGACAAGAAATGTAAACAATTTAGGATTTACAGAGAGTTTTATGAGGAGATACAGTCTAGTCATAAAGCCCTCAAGGTTACAGAGTGTGTTTTGGTAAGACTGAATAATAGTATATATAATAATAAAAATAACCTTTGTTTGTTTACAAAAACATTCAACAGAGCACCTGTAAACATGTAGCCAGCACCTTTTAAGGTGCCCTGTGGAGTTCTCTTGTAAACAAACAAAAGTTGTGTTTATACTCATTGTTGCTCACCAAAACACATCAAGTGTATGCTTCAAATCTAACAAATGTGTTGAATGCATTTCCTTTCACATGAAACATCTGCAAAGGCATGCATGTGCATCCGGAACGAGACAGACAAACAAAACGGGAACTCGCTCACAAAATGTCTCTATATTGTTACTACAGGTCAAAATCTTCTGTGGGTAACTTTACGACAACAGAAAGGCTCAGAGAAAGACTCAGGACAGCAGTTTTATCAGAAACTTATAACTGTGGGTTAAATGCTATGCTACAGTATGGGAAGAATATCATACATAAGCTTTGCAGGCTTGTCTTCCACATTTCTTCATAACAGGCACTTGATGTGGAAAAAAAAGAACATGTCTTTCTAACGCTGTCCTCTGGCACCACCTAGAGGCCTGTAGCGGCATCTTCTTTCTAAGAAAAGCGTTGACCCTAATCTAGTCAGGTAAATTCTGTTGACCTTAAATAGCTCAGCCCAGAAATTAAGTCACCACACCTATGTTCTTTGAGGCTGATAGGGAAAACAAAAACAATCCCAAACCTGTCATTGACAGCTCCACAGTATTTCAAATACATGACTCAGGTATTTGATTTCACTCACCTGTAAATATCAACTACGTCAACGGTCTGTACAAGAGCAAATGAGGTGATTGGCACATTTCTGTTTCTTAACACACTAAAGGTTTTTCTTAATACCATACAAAACAATAATTTCCAGATTTTTCTTGCTTCTTCATTATGTCTTGTGAAATGTTTTTCAGTCTCTAGACCTTCAAACAAACAATTGAATCATATACACTAAAACTGAAAATTATTTGCATGTCAAAAATATGCAGGGTCCGTGCAGTCTATGGAGGAAACCTGTGGTGAAAATTGAGATTACAAAATAAACCCAAGCTTCTTTTACTCTGAAGTGTTTGTTCATTTACTTTGCAAAAATTGTCAACTGATCACTCTAGAAAATGGGACTTACCCTAATTCATTTCCATAAGTTCAAGTTATCAAATGAAATGTCTGTATGACTTGTTAACAGGGAACTCTTATGGATAAAATTTTAAGCCAATCCAATTTTTAAAAGCAACCAAACAAAACAAAACTCGCAATATTTTTCTTTTTTAATGAAACATAGTCCATCCAATTGCAACTCAATGATTTTATTTCTTTTACAATGTGAACCACATATATCATACCAACAATTAAATGTTAAGTATATAGATTAGCCATTTATTACTTTTTAAACAAATAAGTATCAAGAAACAGCTAATAATAGTGTTGGCTCCAAAGACACGTGGCATGAGTCAGCCTATTGAAACAATGTGGATGAAGGCCTGTGACTGGCTCAGAGGAAGAAAAGAAAAACACAAAGTGCCCCCTCTATTATAACCAGGCTAAACAGTGGGGGTCAACGCTGCAAGTGGAACAGTGGGCTTGAAAGACAGCACCATCCTGCTCGTAGCCAACTCTTTAGTTGAGCCTTTGGAAAAACTCCCATTTGATAGTCTGAATTTTAGTTTATTTTTCCTGTCAGCAGACACTTCTCACCTTCCCTTTAAACTGACATGTTGTCATGCAACAGAAACACTGGGAGGTTAGAACTACTAACTTGTGGCTAAACGCACAATTTGGTTTCAGTCAGCAATGCTACTAATGCCAATGTGGAGTGTCAGACACATAACAGCAAGAAAAGTGTCTGGAAAGAAAACTAAAATATTCAAAATGCATTCCTCTGATTTAATGAAGAGCGTGCGGCAGTCAAGTCAGTCTTCAGGATTCACTCCATATCCAGTCCTTTTGTTGGTGCCCCAAACACTGTATTCTGCCATGAGGACTCTACAGGGTTGAGTCCCAGAGACTAAAACTCAATGGACTCCAAATGCAACGTTTAGGGCAAATCTCCTATTCAAGAAACATGGATCCTTCCTATGTTACATTAGTCACTAAACTTGTGATAGCTGAAGCTACCCGACAGTTTGCCTTTTTTGCAAAAGATATATATATATATATTTTTTTTTTTTTTTTTTTTTTAAACCAAGAGCCGAACGGCCTCAACATGGATTGATTACTTGTCGCCCTTCCTTCACAGCAATCAGAGGCCCTCTGTAGACGAATGAAATCTCACTTTCCCAATATGGAGTTTACATTTTCAGTCCCATTCAGTTTCTTCACTCCTATGCAACTTTTAAAACGCAGAGCTCATTTTGACAGAATCAGCAAATCTCAGCCTGGTTCTTTTCTTTCACTGACTAGCCAGCGATCATGTATGAATATAAAAGCCAACCTATATGTGAAAAAAAAAAAGAAAAAAAAAAAAAGAAATCTGTGACCAAAATGTAACAGAAGTTAAAAACTGGCATGCTTTATACAACTAAAGAAAACCTACTTTCCAGGTTATAGAGGTGAAGGGGAGTGAACAGCTCAACAAAAATTGGGAAAAAGAGAAGAAAACATTGGCATCTCACAAGTCAGCTACAGTGGGTATTTACAGGCAGAAAGTTGAGTTTTATATCCCAGTCAGCTCACTGACAACTTACTGTATCACTACTACGGCAGGGCATCAGGGGAAATATCCATAATTGGTTTCATAACTAGACAACATTTTATTAAACATTTACACTTTTGTTAGCTTCCTATGCTAAAAGAAAGCATATTCCAACAACTGAGTGTACTATGCTCACAAACAAGTTTAGATTTAACTCCAATAATCTTTCATTAATACCCTAAAATGAGACATAAATCAGTACAGTACCAGTTTATTTTACTTTACAAATTGCTAAATATACCCACATTTCTGACTCATGTGATATCAGTGTCTCCTACTCTACTTCCCCACAGAAGGATGGAAGGCAACAACCATTTCAAGAATGAAACAAGCCCCGAGTTGCATCATCCTGTACCAAGTAAAAAAATTGAAAAAAGGGGGGAAAAAAAAGAGAAAAAAAAAACAAACAAAAAACCCATTCAGGTCTTATTAATGCACGCACCCCTTATACAAAAAGTAGACAGTTTCGCCAACAACAATCCAACACTGTAGCCTCATCATCCAGTGACTTGTGTGCACTGGTTGGCATGTTTGGTTGGTCTGTAGGGAAACACTACCTTTGTAAGAACATTTCTGTGATGTATGCTTTCTTTACAGCACCAATTATCGCCAATAAGTTAAATTATTTGTTAGACAGGGAAGGACTCCGAGTCGTTGAATACAAGTTGAGCCCACACACAGAAACGCTCCGCAACTTGATCAAACACTTCTGAAGAGTTTTCGGAACTAGAGATGTGCGCGAGAGCTCCTTTTCTAGTCATATTAAGTGTTAACTATTTCTAAGCACCAACAGGTAAGTAATGTGTGGACTGACCACAAGGGGTCTGTTTAGGGCTGGACAAGGCTACAACTGGGATACAATGGAAGAGCCGATTTGTTTGCATGAGTTGGAAGTGAAAGCTAAGTGCAAAAATCCTTATTGCAACTCATCAGAATAATCACACAATCACATAAAACAGCAGCTGCTTTTGTAATAAGTATAGGGTAAAGGGGGAAGAGGGCGTCACAGTCAGCAAATGGGCTGTCTGAGAAGCTGTATACAACAAAAAAAAAAAAATGTTTCTTTACATAATCCAAAACCCAAAAAAAAAAAAAAAAAAAAAAAAACCAAGGTGGAGAAAATGCTAAATTAACTTGGCTATCACTGCTGCAAACAGTGGCAACAAACCAAATACTTTAACACTGGTGGTTTAAAAACAAAAAGGGTGATTGGCTGAACTAAATCAAGCCACTGTTGAAGCAGAGAATATGGTTTAAATGTCCACATCAATAGCCTGCTATTGGTAGTTACATGCCGTCAGTCTAGTAACCAGAGAAATGCAAGTGGTTACAAGCGACAGATGAGGCAGGATGATGCCACAGATGTACTCCTACTGGGCAATTTAGCTCCACCACTGACAGACAGGCATGGTTAACTAAGAGCTGCAATGATAAAGTAACAGAAAGAACAGGTGGGTTGTTTGACGCAGAGGTGAGTCTCTGACAGAGCTGGGTCCAACATTTGGCGAGCAACTCGATTCACTGAGTGAGACGATTTGATCATGGCCCTCACTTCCTTATTAAGGTGGTGGGTGAGGATGAGTGAGGTTAAGGGAGGGAAGGGCACAAATGTGTCAAGGATCAAGTGGCTTTTTACTTGTAAAGCAGCACAGTGCATTTTCACCCCTTTGAGAACTGTCTGCATCCCAGAATGAGTTGGTTCCTTCGTTGTCTCCTTTCCAGGGCAGCGATGTCTGAGAAGTGTGTGATGTCGTCCAGACCTCCCAGTCTCTCTTACACTCAATCACACACTCACACAAAGTGTTCTGATTGCAGAGCAATGATTTGTAGTAATAGTGTCAGGAAAGGAGACAAGGAAAAGAATTCATCCAACATCTGATTAGACTGAACTAAGAACCTTCAGTCACTGTTTTCATTTTCAGCCCGGGTTCTTTTGCACAGCCAGGCATCCGAAACGTCTGTCCATCTGCGCATCTGTCCCCCATAAGCCCATCCATCCCCCTCGCCTAGCCTTGGCTTTGAAGGCCCCCCCACCCCCTAATACACACAGGCAAACAGCAGATCAGATCATCCTGTTGCGTTTGTGCGTGGGTGAGTCTGTGATGACATCACTACACTGGGTGGAGTTTCGTTTCCTGGTTCCTCCCCCTCCAGCAGAGGCAGAGCCTGTAGAGTCCAGATGCAGTGCCATCTCCTCTGAGATGAAAGTGTTCAGGTCGACGTCTTGAAGCCCATTACGCCTGCTGCGGCACACTGGCCCTGAGCCAGAAGAACCACCTCCACCAGCACCGCCTCCGTTACTGCTGCTGCCACTCACATGTGTGGGAGAACCTGGAGCACCGGAGCGCACACTGATACTTGCCATGGCTCCACTTAGACCTGGTGGAAGGAGAAGGAGACAGGATGGAGAAGAAAAGACAAAGAACATGATGATCTGAGTTTTTAAAAAATTATCTGGTAAAAAAAAGTTATCAATTTACTGCTATACAACCATACATCTCCATTACTTACTGCCTTTTTAATGGGGTAAGTTACCCATTACCCTTTTAAAAATTTCAAGTTACCACAGCGTCCTGTCAAATGTTTTTCCAAGGAGGCTACACATTCAACATTTACAGGGTTGATGCATATACATGTCCTGTGTCATATCCATATGCATGTCTGTGGGGTCTTTTGAGTCAAGCAACAGTGAATTACAACTGAGCAAGCACATCATGGATGCATCAAACCAATACTCATATTTGTGACACCAAATGGCAACTGTCTGATCAAAGTGGCGTTTACCCTCCAGCATGACAACATAGTGTGTTTGTATGAAATTTATGAAATCAGTGATCAAAGCTTGTAAGTATTGATCTCATTTACAGATGTAAATGGTATGCTACTTTTGGTTTCTCTCTCTCTCTCTCTCTCTCTCTCTCTCTCTCTCTCTCAGAGATATAACCAGGGCTATCAAAATGTGGCTGGGTAAGCTCACAGCAAGTAAGCAGCTCCTTGACAAGACTTCATCTTTTGTTCAAGTCACTTGCTCAGGCTGTTATTCATTTTGGATTTCAGACAAGAACAAGGGTCACAAGGTTCAAGCTTCTACAGAACGGCATTGTTAGGACATTTGCCTCAAAACAGCATTTGAGGCAGCCATCTCACAAACACACAAGTCATCACTTAATACTAAAACTTGAGAAAAAATTACTCCCATTGCAATAAAAACATGCATGGCTGCAGTGCCTGTGACTTAACATGGGAAGTGACAGGTGCAACTTCAAGCCACACTGGTAAACCAATTAAGAAACCATTTCTATCCCACATCTTTAAGAATGAAAGAGCTGTCTACTTGTGGTCAAGTATGTACTGCATTCATGAAGCA